AAATGATTATATTCTAAGTTGAACAACTTAAGAAATAAATTGTATAAATAAATTAAATATCAATTAATTTATCTAATAAATTAAAAGCTGGTTTGTGTGCAACAAAAGTTTGGCTATAAAAAAATTTATTCACAAAATTAAATTAATTACTATACTATTATCAATACATTACTTGAAAATGGTCCAAAATAACAATATCATTGTTAACGGTATAGTTTTTATGACAATTTATCGCAAAACGTTTTAATCCCGACAGGCCTAGATGCAACAACCCAAAAACAATGAACAAAAATAAAAACCTACACACAACCGAAACCATAAATAAAATGGATTGTGAAATATTTGTAAACAAAATTGCCCTGCATTAAAGTATCAGAATGAAAATCAACTTCTAATTGATTAATTGTGACTGGTTTAAAGTAAAGTGAAAACCTCACCTGTGGTTCAGCTCCTCTTCGTCCTCAAAGACACCGAAAGGTTTCATAGCGTCACAGAGTTTCTTGGTGTACAAATGGTCTATTTCTCGTGGGGGGGCCAGGCTGATGGCCGAGGTGATGCCATAGTGTTTCTGAGGCTGCTGCCCACCAGGCATGGCGCTGCGAGAGAGAGAAAATAAAAACACAGTGAATTACTCCTTAATAATGTTTCCACAGCTTGAACAAAAACATTAAGACATTTTTAACCAACATTTGAGGGAGATATTCTGACACGCTTCACTTGCACCATGGCAACAATTTGACCAAATTTCAGCTATTAGAAGAGGCGTCTATCAAAATTTAATTTGTACCGAACAGATTTTTCCTGTCGGTAGAAATAAACAGATAACAGCAACAATGAGGGATTTTAGTTGGTTTTCCCAGCCTAGTGATACGAATAAAAAAGCAATAATTGATGGAAAATTAATGTTCAGAAATGGTTGTTTTAGGTTTTCCTTCAAATAAAAAGTGATTATAGTGACTATTATTACTATATAAAGAGGAGTTTTGAGACATTTAGTGAAAAACTGATATTTCCCAACAGGGAAATACTTACTAAATGCGAGATCTTCTCCACATTATTTGATTTGTAAGAATTGGTTTTGATCAAGACAAAACATGTCCATGAGAAATTTGGTAAACATAGATAGCTAAACCGTGTTTAGTTTTGTTTACATGAAATAGACATGTTACTATCAGTCAACCTGCAGCAGAATTTAACTTTTTAATGAACTAAATAGTCTGAACTGAATTTATTAATTTTAGACCTACAGAGGAACAATCACAGCTTCAGTAATTACAACTAGAAACTAGAGATCGAGCTCGAAATCTGGGTGTAGATTTTGAGCTTTCAAACCTTCAGATTTTGATCTGAAGGTTCAGACCTGAACCTTCAGAAAAGCATAAAGACGGTTACAAAGTTGGCCTTCTATCATCACATTTTCAGGATTAAATCACAAATGCCTCAGCAAAATCTAGAGAAACTCGTACATGTCACTGTCGTTAATCACATTGATTGCTGTAACAATGCTCTTACAGGTCTGCCTTAAAAAAAAAAATCAATCAATCAATCAATCAGACTCAAAACACCGCTGCTGACTTACTCACTAAAACTAGAGCAAATCAACCAGTTTTAAAGTCACTGGCTCCCTGTAGCTCAAAGAATAGACTTTAAAATACTGCTGTTAGTTCATAAATCACTGAACGGTTTAGCACTAAATTACATTAAAGATCTGCTCTTGTTGCATCAACCTCCTTCAGGTTCAAGTCAAATTTCTAAGCATGGAGACGCAGCGTTTGGATTTTATGCTCCACAAATCTGAAATAAACTTCCAGAAAACTGCTGAAACACCGACTTCCTTTAAATCAAGGTTAAAAATCGATATGCTTGAACTTTTCTTTGATTTATAACTGAAACATTAGTTGTGGTCTGCAGTTCAACGATTCCTGCTTTCCTTACTTATGCCACTGCAGACCTTTGGTATTTTCACTATATTCTCATCATGAGGAGAATTTTTAATTGCCGTAGTGCTTAAATGTGCCAAACAAATAAATATGCATGTAAAAAAGAATCAGCTGAATAAAGAGGTGAGCATGCACTTTTCTAGCCCAAGCAAAGTGTGGTATCAAAAAAAATACATAAATATCCTAATTTTCAGAATTTACTTTGGCAAAAACTATACACAATGTTTTCGGAAGCTCTTTATAATATTTAAACTATAATAATCTAAAGTAGCAAACTTGACCTCAATGTGAATAGAGAAACATTACAACTAAATTAACTAATTTTCCCTATTTTTGATATCAGATATCAGTGTAAATTGAGTGACATTAATCATCCCAGAAGTTAAAATTTGAAAATGACGCAAATGTCTTTATTTTTACCCTGCATAAATCACCCCAATATGAAATAATGAAAGACATTTTAATACATTTAAAATGATTTGTTTTGACATACAACTACAAGAATGTGCTATTCACAATATTTGGATTTTCCACGTTTTAGCAATCATAATTCATTAAACATTTGATGTCATGATACAATAAACACCTGTAAAAGTTTGTCTGTGGCTGAAGATAAATACTTTCTAATTTAATGGCAGGATGTTTTTTGCTTCAATTTTTAATTGTGAAAATATAATATTTCAAATTGCCTTTGACTTACATTTGTCATAATCAGTGAAAAGTTAGATAATTTGCTGGAAACATTGAGAATATTTTTTTGCTCATTTTTAATGAACACTTTTGTGACATAACAGCTCAGATTTCAAAAACACTAAAACTCAGAATTTTATATTTTTAAAAAGACAACTGTTTTAATTGTAACCTGCAGACATTATTTTGGCATCATTTACAAAGCATTTTAATGCACCCTGTAAAGAAATAGTTTGTTTTGATACAAAACTCCTTTAGTTTACATAACAATTGATTTAAAAATTGTAATAACGAAAAGCTATTGTTTGTTTTGGCATACCATTTCAATTTAGAACTTATTGAATGTCTCCCGTTTGGAAGCTGCTAGCATTTTAAGTTGATCAGTTTGAGATTTATTGCCGGGAAAACTCCAAACTCTTCACTGACAGCAATGAGCTTAATTAGTATTACTTCACCAACAAGCTTAAACTATTATATTTTTGTACATTTCAAAAGTTTGAGAGTGGCTTTAACAAAATAATGGCACAAAAAGTTTAAATCTGAACCTCAGTCAGGCTGCTAGCTGAGAGGCTACAAACAGGTTGGAAGAGCTAACAAATTAGCTAATTTAGCAGGTAGGCAAGTTTTTGCTGGTCGATACGGAAGCGGCTCTTTAACTAATTACCCTCTTTCCGGTTAAAGTCATTAATATTTTACATTTACCTAAACAAAAACCATTAAGGTGTAAGTATTCATTTTCTGCAAAAGTTTACAAACAACAAAGAAGCTAAGCAGCAAACGGCGGCTGCAGGCCTTGTTGTGACAGCTGGCTAACATTAGCTTTTAGCCTATTCTTCATGAACGCGAGCAGAAAACCCGCTCAGAAAGTACAAACCGTCCCGCATGCATGACTTACCTTGACATTTCTTTCATGACACTAAAAAGCTTGCAATGTTTTTTGTTTTAAATACGTAAAAAAAGAAAGTAAGAAAGTCAGCCAGTGGGGATGACAACAGCCTCGACCTGATTTCAACAATGGTCACTTTCCAGACAACAGTTCAAACCTTCCCACTGAACCGGAATCACTACTTGGGAGCTAACGAATCCGCTCGAAATCCCGCAGGAACATTCATATCTAATTTATCCTCCAACCCCAAGCAGAGTTTTGACAAATGGTAGCGAGCCAAGCACGCGTTTAAGTGCTGTTGTGGGTTATTTTTAGATCCCAAACTACAAATGTAACGGTGTTTGTTGCCCGACGTCTGCGTGCACCACGCTGAACAACCACCGTCAAGAGGCACCGCCTCACCGAGGGCCACAGATCACGTGATCACGTCGGACTGACGCTGTTACGTAACTAGCGTGTTTTGTTTTCTTAAAAACGCTTTTTAAGCTCTGTTTTAACCCTCGTAACGGTCATTTATTGAATAATAGTGCTGTTTTTCGTGTAAACAAATTGAAGTTGATATATTTTTTTACGGATAAACAGATTTGTTCCAGGGCTCCAGTGAAAGTTTTCACTTTCACGTAAAGAATTTACATTTTAAAAGTGAAACAAGCCGTGATTTAAACTATTGAACATTAATAACTGTATTAATAATCTAAATTTAAAATGTATTTGACGAGAAAAAGCTTTATTTCTAATGCATGATATGTCAAATTCATTGCTTTTGGAGATTTAATCGACAGCAATCCGTGTAACATATGTTCCGTTGTTTTAATTTACTCTAAAAAAAAAAAAAAAAAAAAAAAGCAAGTGAGCTATTGTATTCTTATTGTAGAACTTTGTCTACAATTTTGCTGTCTTGTAATATCATTAATATATATAATCATTAATATAATTAATATAATTGTCTATGAATAATGCTGTTATTTCCATCCATCCTTACATTTAATAAGTTTTTCACAAAAGTCTTTGAAGTAATGCATACCGTATAAAACAGTCTCATCTAGTGGAGACAGTGGAGAAATTATTTCAGCCAAACGTTTCACCACTATTGAACAATATGTGTGCAAAATGTTATGAAACGGGCTCACGCATTTTTCGAAGACACGATTAAAAATAAATAGATAAATATACTTATATTTATCTAGACCTTTAACTCACTAAGGTGATTCTAGTCCTTAATGCCAATTTTTTTTAGATCTGCAAGATTATTTAGACATCTTCAAATCTGCTGTCAGATCTCTTCCTATGACAAAGTATAAAAGTAATCTTCACAATAGGTTATAATGATGTGAGAAAGCAAAAGGTTTTATTTGCATTTTCAGATGATGTAACATGACTTAATAATTCCAAGTTATATTGTTTTTATTTGTGTAAACCAATAGTTAAAAACCAAAAAACATCAAAAACATCACGTTTTATACATAAAGACAGGAAAAAACTTTAGATTTGATTAAAATAATTTGAAAGTTTTCCTTTAAGCCTCTTCAGTGACTGCAGGACAGTATTGTGTTACTGATTATGAAAGTACTGGTGAACTTTCACCTGTGTACAAAAAAAAAAAAAGAACAGGACAGCTCCTCCCTCACCGTCTAACTCCCACTTGTCCCACTTCTGCATTTCGTACTGTTCATATCGCCACATTTAAACATCTATAAGAAAAGGAAGTCAAATAGTGTCCTGCTGCAAAATCCATAGCCTGTCATTTAGAAAAAATGAGCAGCCAAGTTCCTCTGGTCAATGTGGAAAAGTGGATCGCTGAAAACCAAGATGCTTTTCTGCCACCAGTGTGCAACAAGCTGATGTGAGTAACATGCTTTGCTAATTGTTTTTTAGCCAGCAAAATCTGTTGCAGTGACTGATTTGTTTGGGAGGTTGACACCAGACATGTTAGATGCTGTGTGTGAACATGCTGCAACCACATGACTGCTTTCAATTTCTGTTTTTCTCAGGCACTTTTCCCAGTTGCTCGTCATGTTTGTTGGGGGTCCTAACACCAGGAAGGATTATCATATAGAGGAAGGGGAGGAGGTAGGAAATTAAAAGTACATAAATACAACCTTAGCTGATACAGGGAAAGGAGATTCAGCGTCTCCTTTCCCCGTATCATTGCCTCATCTTCCATGAACCTGGGCAAACTCCACCCTGCAGCTGAAATGCTGAGAGTGTGTATTTTGGCACAGTGTCCCTAATAATTTTTAACTGGGTCCTTCTTGTTGGTGGCATCCTTTGCTGTCTAGACTTGCAAACTTGCTTAATCGTATTTCCTAACATTTTCCAAAAACAACTCGGAGAAGACTGGAAAATTTCAGCAGTCCCTATTGGTTGGCTGTATTCAGCGCAGTGGTGCAGCTGGTATCAGATCCCGATCTGGGGCCTTTCTGCATAGAGTTAGCATGTTCTCTCTGTGTATGTGTGGGTTCTGTCTGGGTACTCCAGCTTCCTCCAGTCTAAAAACATGGCTGTTAGGTTAATCGATCCCTCTAAATCGTCCTTAGGAGTGTGAATGGTTGTCTTATGTCTCTATGTTGTTGTCTAGCGATGGATTGTGACCTGACCAAGGTATACCTTAGTTTTCACTCAATGACCCTGCCAAAGCTGAAACTACCGATTATTTTAATAACCAATTATTCCATTGATTTTTCTCTTAATTTTAAGATCTTCTTTTGGTAAAATTGCATCTTTATTCTGCTAATACTATACATTCTTGCAGTTAATGGATAATTGAAATAAAACCTTTTTTTTAAAGTATTTTCTTTCATTTGTAATTTCTTTTTTTTTTTAATTGGATGTTGTATGAAAAAACATGCATATTGCCCAACCCTAGTGAAAATCTCCCATTGGACAGTGAATAATAAAAAATTATTATTTTACATTTTTCTGACTCTCAAAGGTAAAAAAAAATGTCAGTAATGTATTACTCTGGCCTCATGATTGAATCATTCCATTAAATAAACAAAGGTTCACAGAGTTTAATCAATAAATATTTAGGATATTTTAAAGATTTCTTCAGTATGCATGGATAAATCATCAAGCCAAATATTTCTTTTATATACTAACATTCATATCTCGGAGAGTTCATCATGTCAGTTATGTAGAATAAGTTGCTAAAGCTGAAAGGTTTAGCAAGGACATTTTGAGGGGAGGGGTGAGGAAAGCAGTTCTTCCAGGTGAAAGGTCAAATCTGATGTGTTCATGTTCACCACACAGTCTCCAGATTGTGCAACTGCAGCCTTTAAAGAACGACATTTAACCCATTTCTTGTCTTTTTCTGTTTGAAATAGTTGTTTTTCCAGCTGAAGGGAGACATGTGTCTGAAGGTGATTGAAAATGGCGTCCACAAGGACGTTCACATCAAAGAAGGCGAGGTAAGCGCTGACGTTTCCCCAACATCTGGAACAGAAACCTGTCTTTTCTCTTTATAGAGCACTAAAACACACTTGAATCATAATCTTTGCCTCACTGTATGATTTTTTTCTCCACTTTTAGATGTTTCTGCTCCCAGCTCGAATCCCCCACTCTCCGCAGAGAAAGGCCAACACCGTTGGACTGGTGATGGAGCGAAGGCGACTGCTGACTGAAACTGACTGCCTGAGGTTCACCTCTCTTCTTCTGCTCACCTCTTCCCTCATTTCAACTCCTACTTTTCTAATACAGCCTCAAAATTATTCATCCTCAAATATATGTATGTGCACTGAAAAAACACAAACTCTTACCAAGTAATTTTGGTCTAATTTCTAGTGCAAATATCTTAGCAAACTTGAAATAAGACTAACTAACTAATAAGTAACTTTTTAGCAAGATATAGATTATTTAACTCATAAGACATTTTCCCATGTTATAAGTTAATTTATCTGCCAATAGAACAAGTACTTTTTCATCAATATTTAGATATAGAGGCTTAAAACAAGCCTCTATATCTTGCTAAAAAGTTACTTGTAAGTTTGTCTTTTTTCAAACGCAATAAGATATTTGCACTAGAAACTGGACTAAAATTACTCAGTAAGGTTTTGTGTTTTTGCAGCGCTTCTTCAGCCTCTTCACAGTGTTGGGCGTTTTCAGGTGCCTCAGTGTCACCAGTACCTGTCGCTTCTTGTAGGTACTACGTGGACAACACCACCGACATCCTGTTCGAGAGATGGTTCTACTGCGAGAATCTGGGGACACAACTGGTTCCGATTATCAAAGAGTGAGACACGTTTCTACTTTTATTTAATCAGGATTCATTGAAGTTTATGATGTCGGTCGATCTGTCACTCACAGATTCATGGCATCAAACCAGGCTAAGACGGGAAAACCGGATCCAGGTGAGCTTTTTGCTACCTGCTTCCACGTGTCTAATATGAACTCTGTTCCATTTCTGAAGAATAAACTGCTGACACTTTTGTTTTTGAACAGATGAAGTTTTCAGAGAGCCTCCGTTCCAGATGAACACCATGAATGTGATGACACCGTTTTCCTTCAAGGACTGGCTCAACAAACAGAGGCCGTCTTTGGCTAACGGCAGGCCCATCAACATCTTTGGAGTTCAGTTTGAGACAGAGGTAGTAGGTGTCACTCTAACATTTCAGTTTTCTGTATAGACAGATTGTTTTATTGAAATGGATACATACACAAACAAACAAATTAAAACCACTAATTAGGACTTGGTTGTGTTTGCATCATAGTATATTGCTTTTATCTCTAAGCCTAAACAGGGTGAATATAAACTAAATTTCTTCTCTCTGTCTCGCATCACATCGATAAAGCCTGCAAGTTGAAAGCTGCCTTCTACATTATAAAGCCTGACTTTCAGAAGTGTCTAATTACAGACAAATTATAGTTTTAGTGCTTCCTCTGCATGTTTGAGGGAGTGCTGAAAGCTGCATGTTTCTGCAGCTCAGAATATTGGATTCACCAAAACAAACCAGATGAAATTTTATTTATTTAAGCTTAAAGTCTCATGTTTTTGTTTTATGTTTGGTTGGCTATATTACAACAAAGCCTATCTCAATAATAACAAAGTGTTAGACTTCCTGGTAATCAAACTAAGATGTCTGGACTAGTGCATACAAACAGAATAATAATAATGAATAAAACAAGGTTTTCTCTATTTATTTGTCTTTGACAGGTAATGGTGTTTGGACCTGGACTTACAGAGACCTCAGTCCAGCAAACTGATTTGTGGATTTGGCAAATGGCACGTACACACTTCCTGTCCCAACTCCTCTAATAACCTCCATAAGCTCCTAACAGCTAATCCTACCAACACATCTCCTCTCTGTCTCTCCCAGGAGGGATCTTCAGCAGTGACCATGGCGGAGCAGACGTTCAGTTTGACTTCAGGAGATAGTTTGCTCATCCCCGAACAGAGCCAGTGAGTCAATTTTAATAAATAATATTAAAAATGCAAATTATCTGGTGCTTTCCAGGTCTCTGAGTTACATTGATACAACTTTAAATGGATGCTGATTTTGACAGAATATGTTAGCTAATCAGGTGGAAATTAGGACAAAACACAAAAACTGATTTTAAGTTAAATGTTCAAGTCAGGTAGATTGTATAAAACTTATCTATCACCGACTTTCAAATCAAGTATGCAAGTGGAAAGGAATGGCTACTTTTTAATAGGAATAAACCTCGAGAAGTGCCAGTACAGCATGAGTAGCCATCTGCTGATGTTTGTTGAAGATTAAGTCAAGCATGTAACTGCTGATCTGACACAACGATCTTTCATGTTTGAAGAGAATGGTCGAAAATTGAGAAAATGTACTTTGAGTGGCAGAAACTCTCTGGATATTGTAAAAATATTAGTAAGTTATATGTACATAATCACTGATTAAACTGTATTATATGGTGGCCAAAAGGTACAAAGGGACTGCAAACGGCAAAATACTCTGCAAACATGAATGATGCAAACGGTAAACCACACAAACACAGAAAACAAATGTAACAAAAAACAAACACTGCAAAAAATATGCTGGAATCACAGAAAACAGAATCAAAAACCTACAATCAACAAAATAAATGCAAACAAAAAAAAATGCTGCAACCACAGGAGATGGAAGCAAATGAGAAAATGTCATAAATAGCAAAAACAACAAGCACAAATGCTGAAAACTCGCTTCACAAAACAGAAGTCCTCCAGACCACTAGGGGGAGTCTGGAGTAAGTAATATTACCAACATAAATAAATTCTGTATTATTGTAAAAGATTGTGTTTTTGAGAAAGTCATTAAGTATATCATACTTTTTCTATCCCCCTCCAACTTTATTCTGTAAATCCCATTAAATTATAACATCCAATCTCTACTGGGGGCCTGAAACCGTACGACTCCCCCTAGTGGTCTGGAGCACTTCTGTTTTTGCAAAGCGAGTTTCCAGCTTTTTATACTTGCTCCATTTGTGCATTTTGCTTCTATTTCCTGCTGTTATAGCATTTTGTATTTATTTGTTTTGTTGATTGTAGGTTTTTGCTTCTATTTTCTGTGCTGTTTGCTGTGTGTGTTTGCACCTCTAACTGTGGATTTAACATAAACTGGAATGAATTGAAGCAGTGCTGTTCACTTGATCCCTACTAGAGCCTCTGCAAGAGATTTTTAACTCATCAAATAGATGGAAAAATACAGCTTTAGAAGAGCATGTTGGAAATATCAAAGAACTTTTAAATTTGACTTTAGTACAACCACAAATTAAAACAAGTTTATCCTCAAATATACGTACTTGGACTGCAAAACAACCCCAAGTCATCACCCCTCCAGCACAATGCTTGGCAGTCGGTAAAAGTGTTGGTGCTAATTTGCTGTTTTCCAAAGATAACGACGTTCATTACATTAAACCATTATAAAAATGTGAAAAACAAATTATTTTCCATTATTGTGCTTGGGATTTTACTTAAGCTAGGTTGAAGATTTTCCAGAAGGAACAAATTGGAGCACCTCTAATTTTTCAGATACATTCACATTTAGCATGCGAACTAAGACCTGCTGAAGTCTACTGTTTTTACAATAAAAAAACAAATTACATCAGATTAGCAGTTCCTGTTGCTGCCAACCCTTTAAAAGAAGACAATCGAGAACAAGCACAATTTGGTTGTGCTTGAGAACTAAAATTATCTCTCACCACATTGACAAACCACAAATTCATTGGAACTGTTTCAGACACTGATGAGTGGGAACATGTGCTAATATGAGCAGAAATTGTAATGTTTCCTTGGCATTATGTTGCCACACACCTGAATGCCCCAGGCCGGCAATATGCATAAACACCTAGCTTAAAGATGAGCCATTCAGTGAATAATTCAATGAATTATTCAGTGCAGTTCACACACCACTTCTTGTCCTTAGGTTGATATCTGATAAATAAGTATTGAGAGAAAATGCAATTTAATGTTGTCTCCTTGGAAAATTAGCATGATTCTGGTAGAAATTCTGGTGCAAACATGTAATTTATGTTCCTTTTGTAGGTACAAGTGGCAGAGGAATGAGGGGACTGTGGCCTTGGTCGTCGTGCAAAATCCAGAGCGGAAGAGAACCTAATTATCAACTACACACCTTCAAAATTCACTTAAATAGATAGAAGTAGTAAAGGTGTTAACTTTTTTTTATTAAAACATGTATTTTTATTAATGACATTGACATGAAACTTACACCAGAGGTCAGTAGCAAACCAAAAAATCCACACACAAAAATGAGACCAAAACAAATCATTTTCAACTCTGATGATACAGGGAGAAAGTAATAACACACTTACTGAATTTTATCAGCTTTTTTCTTTCTGGGTTTTATCATCAGCTCTTTAATGAAGAACATGCAGTTACATTCCTCCTCATACTTCCTTTAATTATCTGACGTTTCCTAGCACTTTATGCTCAAAAACAACCTCACACCTTCTTGTTCTTTGGTGTTTTTGGAGTGATATTCACTCCAGATCCTCCTGCAAACGTCTGTTCTGTTAATATTTCATTGGCTTCCCAAAATACTCTGTAGAAAACTTTAAAAGATATTTATCATGGGTTTTCTTTATTAGTGGAGTTTTTCCCAGTGAGTTGTACAATTGCAGTTGAGTGAATATTTCTTTGAAATTAAGTTTAAAGAAATACGTTTTGCAATAATGAGGTTGTGAATTGAGCTTTTTGGTTTGACCCATCATGTTTGTTAGAGTAATGAGAAAACGTTTCATAGACGATCACTGCAGAGTAAATTATTATTAAATTAGTATTAGTCAGACCTGACTTTCTATGTTGTCCAACACATTTTCTATGTATTATCTCACTTAATTATTCTTAAATTAATCCGTGGATTTGTGTTGTTAATGACATCTGGGGTGAATTTTGAACAAACATCCTATTAGAAGTATGTTTACTAAGAAAAACAATAACTTGTTCAATGCGCTTTGTATAATGGTAATAAATAATGCCAATTTCATTTAGTTTTATTATTTAGTGAAGTTAAGCATAATGAAAGAAGAACTTGATTCTGAAACTGTTTTTAGGCTAACAGGAATAAAATGACATGAGATCATTTTTCTCGCCTGGTCTTGTTTTCTTGGTACCTAATGGAAGTGTGTTGAAAACCACCTTCATCGTACTTGGCTGAAACGTACTTGGCTGATTAATGAATGGGAAAGATCCAAAAACACAACACCAGGAACAAAACCCTGCTGTAAGATAGTTGCCAGGTTCTCATTTCCCAAAAATTGTGCAAACTACCCCGATTTTCTTAAGAAGATATTGAAAATTAATAAGCACGTAAATGTTGCCTTTTTCCTCCAAGAGGCCTGCTGAAACACATTCCCGCCCTGGACAAAATCCAAACTTCCCACAGTGTCTTTTACTCCAGTTGGACCAGATAAGGCAGACAGAAGCAGGAAAAATACAGAAATTTTTAATTATGAAACTGTTAAAAATATAATAACATTGTGTTCCTGCAAAAAATGACAACAAATGTTGTGTGGGTTTAGTTTAGTTTACTTTAGTTTAGAAATGAAATAAAAACAAAATAAAACAGCAACATGGAAGACAACATAGCAGAATACATGTAATTTTAGGTTAAATGCATAATTAACTCTATACTTAAGTTCACAACCAGGAACTGAGATTGCTTGAAATCTATTAAAAGTTGGGTGATTTTAGAAGGACATAGTTTAAGATTATTATGAAATCAGTTGTTTTTCAATCTTATCTTTAGCGTATTCTTGATTAGAGATTAAAAGTCTTCAAATTTTTTATTTTGAAACCATTAAAAACACAGTAATACTGTGCTATTCCAGCTGAAAATGACATTAAATGTCATGTTGGTGATTTTGGAAAGACATAATTTAAGATAATCATGAAATCAGTCGTTTTTCAATGTTATCTTTAGTGCAGTGTTAATTGGAGATTAAAAATCTCAACCGTTTTAATCATTAAACGTTAAAAATACAATAGCATTGTGTCGTTTCTGCAAAAAAAATGACATGAAATGTTATGAGGGTGATTTTGGAAGGATGTTGTTTAAGATAATCATGAAAGTAATCATTTTTCCAATGCTATTCTTACCTAGCACTTGATTGGAGATTTAAAAAAATCTTCAATTTTTTAATTATGACAGTGTTAAAAATACACCAACATTGTGTTGTTCCAGCTAAAAATGACATTAAATGTCATGTGGGTGATTTTGGAAGGACATAATTTAAGGTAACCATGAAATCAGTTGTTTTTCAATCTTATCCTTAGTGTATTCTTGATTACATGCTGCTCCGCTATAAGTCCAGCTACAGCCCAGGCTGGGGCATAATCCAGAGTCACCAGTCCTCCCAGATTGTAGCGATGGGCTGAGTAATCCCACGGACAGGCCCCCAGCAGGCTCAGCCCCACGCCCCAGCTGAACTCCCACATGTAAATGAATAAAGTGTAAACTGCCAGCCTCACAGGGAGCGAGCGGCTCTGGGCCAGCAGCCAGGCCCTCAGGGCCTCCATGCAGAAGATGGCAGAGCCGTACATGGGCAACGCCCAGATGCTGCTGTGGCCTGGCAGCCTCTGGTCCCGGGTGCTGCACCAGTCATACACGGCGGTGAAGGCCACCTCGCAAAGGCAGCCGTGCAGAGCGTAAACATAGAGACGAAACAAGGCTGAGAGGGGATGAGGGGGACCGTCAGACTCTGCTGGGGGTTCATCTCCAACAGCAGTCCCTGCAACACACACACGCACACACACACACACACACGCACGCACACACTGAAATTAGTTTGTCTTGAAAGTCTATTTGGAAAGTTTTATGTGATTTAATTTAGGATAACTGTAAACTTTCAGTCACTTTTTAAATAGTAAATTGGAAAATGGACTGAACTCAGAACAGAACAGAATATACTTTTTCTTTCTGTTCTGTATATCAAGTATATCAATATACTTTATTGATCCTAAGGGGAAATTCAATTCAATTCACTTCAATTCAATTTATTGTTTGTCACTGTACACATGTACAATGAGATTAAAAGCCAGATCGAGCAGTGTAAACAATGTAGGAAATATATACAATATAAACATAAATATGGTGATATTTACATTATTTACAATATTAATCAGTTAATTTTATAGATGTGCATATAAATAAATTTATATACAGGAAGTTAAGTGCCAAGTGCCTTGCCCTGAAGTACATCGACATCTGAGGAAGCTGAAATCGATCCTACAACCTTCTGATCACAAAACGGCTATTCGTTGCAATGGTGGGCCAGAGCCACCGTCGCCATTTTTACACTTACATTCCTGTTTCTACTTCTTCGAAAAACAGCCCAAGTGCTGAAAAAACACCAATCCATTTTTTAGGTAATAAATTAACGTTTCAAAGTCGAGTCTGGAAAATGAGCCGTTTCAAACACCTTCCGAATGTTGAGACAGCCGTTACCAAGCAACCCCAGCTGTAACCTAGCAAACCAATCAGAACGCTGAGTTGAAGGGGCGTGGCTAGCAGCAGTTTATTTGGATTTAAAGTGACAAGACGTCCTAAAAACAGCCCATAGGCAGAACCATATGGGCAGAACTGACTATCTAAGGATGATTTTGTGTAAAAAATGTAATGAACATTTAGACCTATCCTAACCTATTGAAGGAAGCGTAATAGGTCACATCTGACCTTAAAACATCCTCATCCATAATAATGATATCACTGTAGAAACATCTAATTGTTTGGAAATTGTGTTCTAACTCAACCAAGGCTGATAGGCAGGAACAGTTCCTTCTTTAAAAAGCTGATGTCTTTCCTCTCCAATAGAAAACTCTAGTAGCTATAAAATTTTTCAAAATTGATAAGTTAATCAACTGAAAGTGGTTAGAAATAAATGGCCTCCATCTGCTGTCTTAAATCAAAATGGAGCAATTTTCATCCCAATTTGGCTTAATGTGTTTGTTAAATAATTACAATGTGGAATATATAAAGTTTTTTTTAAAGTATTTCAGAACCTGTTCGGACCAGATCACTGCAAAAAACGTCTCAAAACTTGACTATAGTTGAATAATATGAACACAGTAACCAGATACTGGAACGAAGGTAATTGCTGAGAAATGACTCAAATGATATAAAATTGAGACTCAATGTCAGGTGTGGTGGCTGTGAGGTGGTGAGGAGAGACGCAGGCGCATGTTGTGATAAAGATGATGATAGATTTAATGAAGAAAGCTCAACAGTCCAGAACAGGCAGCACAGCAGAGACTTAGCACACAGCTAATTACCAGTAGCAACTGAAAAACTAAGGACTGAAAAAGAGAGCTAAACCAACACAGGACTTTACAGTTCTACTGTGATGGCAGGCAGGCAGACAAATGACATACGTTTGACAAGGACCCAACAAGAGACAGAGACAACAGGTTGACTTAAATACACAGGGAGGGTAATCAGGTAACTAGACACACCTGGGAAGCAATCAACGAGGAAGACGCAGAGACAGAGACTTACAGGACAGAAACTGAACACAGAAAACCCTTAAAAAATAAATACACAGAAACACGGATCATGACACTCAAATGATATAAACTTGAGAAGCTTATTATGTTATTATTTATTTGTAAATATCATAAGTTATGAAATACTTGAAATTGATTCCTATTAGGCAATAAGTAAAAGTAAAAAAAACCTGACTTGATTTAAAGGATAATCTATAAACTGAACTGATCTCTCTGTACAGTTTCTCAGAGCTGCAGGAAATACCCGGCCTCTGCTACTGTCGTAGATTTACGACAACAATCTACAGGATGCTGTAGCTGCTCAAAATCCTTATCGCAACATCAACGACCACAGCTGAGTCACAGAGGAACGTTTAATCACTGAGAAACATCAAAACACTTTACACTGTGAAGCAGCAAATGAATTAATTCATGGGTTATTAGAGTTTGACAAGGGTTATTGTCAAACTCTTTTGCTTGCTTTTCATCTAAGCAAAAGTTTGCCTAGATGAAAGATTGATGTGCATCTTTTCTGTTCAATAACACTGGTGAGTGACTCTTTATTTGTAATTTCATGTAAAAAAGGGTTAATTCTTGAATTAACTTTATATAAAATGGTATTTTAATTTTATCTGGTTGAAGTCAGGTTGAATACATCCAGGAAGTATTACCATACTGCTATTAATAGGTGTTGACTTCTTAATTAAAGAGAAACTCCTCTATGTAGAATGAAAAAATATAAAACTAGTGTAAGGAATAAATTGTAAAACACAACATTAACTGAAGCGTAAATGATTTTCTCGGGAAGACTTTTACTTTAGCCTGAAGCTGTGCCCTCCTGCAGTTTCCACTGACTTACTTATGAGAAGTGACAAAGCTTTTCAGACTTAATGTGAAGACTTTCAGGTAAAACAATCAGGTGAACATGCTCTGAACGAGTGAGTCGCCTGCAGCAAACACACTGCAGCTTTTCTATGACGTCTGAACCGGGACGACTGACTGTTGATGGTAAAAGTCACAGTTTCACTCCCAACTCTCGTCTGCTGAGTCATATTTTAATATAAAGTTACGATAAAAAGAAAATACCGCTACTTTTTCAGCTAGTGGAACAACCTAAACTTTCCTATTTTACAGATTGACGTCATTTATTGGAACTAAGTTAACCAACAGTGACCAAATGTTTTGGCATAAAGGCCACAAAATTAATAATTTTATTCTTAACATAATAAGAAAAACTAATATATGTATTATTTTTACCTGTTAAATAAACAACAAACTAAACACAATATTTTAGTAAAATAAGCAAAGCAGTCAGATTTTTGTAGACAAGTGTTGCATGAATCAGGTTTACCTGTTTTTTTTTTTTTTAAAAACAGCAAGTCATATTCTAAAATTGTTAATTTTTCTGGATTTTTCTGAATCTTTTTTAGCAACAGGAACAAGATTTCGATCAGTCTTTTTTCATTTTACCAAGTTAATTAAATAGGCGTTCTCAAATGTGGGTCTTAGTAAAAACAACTGGATGCTTTTGGTCCCTATATTAATACTTTGTGCTGCACCTTAAATTTTCTATTTTTCCATTTTAATAGTATCTATTTTTATCAAATCTCACCACAATGTTGTTTTTAAATTTGTATCTTCACCAATTGCCTGAACTGAACAACCAAATTTAGGCTTTTTGAACTGTGATCAATCATCCTGAGGGCCAAAAATGGCCCCTGGACCGCACTTTGAACAACCCTGGAGGACATTTTGCTGTTTCCTTCGGATCTAAGAGGCAAAGTAGAATTCAGGTGCCGCTAATAAACCAACGAAGAAGAAAGTATGGGCTTCTTTCTTGGTTATCACTGTAGCTATCGACACTGGTGAAAAACTTCAGTCTTGGTGGCTCTTTTGCTGTTTTAAAACTATTTTTAAGCATTTTGTTTCTTAATCTAGACTTTAACACATCCAAATATCTTGAACAAATGTCTATAAATTCCTCTAAAAGACTTTTCTGCCTTTTGTATAGTTGAAACCAGAAGTTTACATACACAACAAAAAGACAAGTGCATTTTTTTCACACTAACGTGAAATTAGAATAAATATTTCCCATTTTATGCAAATTAAAACAAGAAATTCCAACAGTTTTCCATTTACTAAATGCCAGAATAATGAGAGATAATTTTTAAGGCTATTTTAAAGTTAATGAACACTAAGATTATTATGCCTTTAAGCAATTTGGGACAAAACATCAACAACTTCAAAACGTCTGAGCTAATTAGAGACACACCTGAAACAGAGTGCTTCCTTGCATCATGGGAAATAAATCAGCCAAAGTGTAAGGAAGAGAATTGTGGACTTGCATAAGTCTGGTTTGAATGGGGTGCAATTTCCAGATGTCGTTAAAACAAATAATTATATGCAAGTACAAACAAGATGGGAACGTTCAACCATCATCATCCCGCTCAGGAAGGAGACGGGTTCTGGTCCGCAATGTTAATGTCAACCCCGTAACAAAAGTAAAAACCTGGTAAGTGTGTTATTACCTACAGTGAAACGAATATGAACATGAGCTGAAGAAACATAAAAACAACAGTTTAATGTTTGCAAATACACACAGGGACAAAGAAATAAATTAATAATAAAAATTAATAGAACACCATTCTGACAGGTGTCAGAATGCTGGAGGTGGCAGCATTATGTTGTGGGGTTGTTTTGCTGCAGGAGGGACTGGTGCACTTCACAAAACAGCATCGTGAGGACAGAACATTATGTGGAAATACTGAAGCAACATCGAAAGACGCCGCAGGTTGTAAAAACTTGGGCACAAATGGGTTTTACAATGGCTATAAAAAACATGTTCATTACATTTTTTGGCAAGACAGGCCCACAGAACGATGCAGCCACCACTTTACCTGACTGTTAGTGTGATATTTTCTTTAGCTTGAAAGCCATTTCATGGGTCCTAATCCAAACATTCGGCTTATAATTGCAAACAAATAGCTCATTATTTGTCTCCAATTAGCAAATTTCCATCAAGGTGGCCTACTATGCTTTCTCGATCAGGTTAGAAAAGGTTTATGGCCTACACATGTTCATTACCTTTTCATTTGCACAAAAATTATTCTTATATAATGAGATTTCAGTCTGCTCAGTTCTGCCTGTGAGCTGTTTTAGGACCTTTTGTCACTTTAAATCAAAATAAGCTGCTGCTAGCCACGCCCCCAAACTCAACATTTACACTCGCAAATAAAAATGGCTGCAAACAGATGCCCAATTATACAACTGTACATGTTTGAAAAGCAGAAGTGGCGCCTCCTGCACAACCAACAAAAATGCAGCAAATGGTTTCAGAACAGTAAGTCTACCAAAAGAAAACAAAAAACATTTGATTTTCCAGCAACCATTGTACAGTGAATGCAGCGGTAAAACCAGCTGACCAAATGTGCTGGAGCTCAACTTGTGTTGCTAGGTGATGTGCGGAACTGTGTCGGGATTGCTAGGTAACAGCACTTTGCCCGTTGAATGTTCCTTAATATTTAAGAAGTTTTTGAAAGACCAAAAGCATTAGCTTATTTCCAAAAAAGCTGCCTTAATGGGTAAGGCCAATTCCTTCTTAAGAAAAGTCGGCCAGTTGGTCAAAAGGACTAAATAATTATTCACGATTACAAGATTAATATTTGGAGGAGAAGTCATGGTCATGCTGTAAAGCCAAAGAACAATCCCAACTGCCATGCAAAGTGGTGGCTGCATTTTTCTGTTGGTCTGACTTGCTGTCAGTGGATGGAGTAATCAATAAAAACCTCAAATGTCTTCAATTTGAGCTGAAATTAACAGTTGAAACTTGGAGACAGTTGCGTTTTCTAACTGGACAATGATCCTAATCAAACATCCAAACTGATTCTGGATAACATGAAGCCCAGATATTAAAACTGTTGAAAAAGTTTATGTTAAGGTTACAAACTGGGTCTGTGCCATTAAGCTAATTGAATTTCATCAATTCTACCCAGAAAAGATGCTAGACATCCAACAGGATTTATGCTAGTCGCTTGCCAATGCTTGCAAATTGGTGCAACTTGTTTAAAGGTTTAACTAAATCATCTACTCACTCCATCCTGGAAAAATAATGACTCATTTTGAGGGTATGTAGTGACAAATATTATTACCGTACTTAAACCTTTCTCTGTTATCGTGAGGAAAATGAAGGTGTGTAACAAATTGCACTCTGAAACATGATAAGGTTTTATTAATATCGTTTTTGCTGCACTTTGTTCCATGCATAATGCTCCTCCTTCGTTTTCCGCTTACGGGACACACACCTCTAATGTGGATTAACAAGCTAATAGTCCTGCTTAGCAAATTAAAGACACGGCTAATCATCAACAAGCTTTCACCCTGTGCGAACAAACTCTTTAAATGATCAACACGACGACACGGAAAAGTGTGTATTATTTCTGATAAATTAAGACATTAATAAATTTGCATTATTGAGATTAAATCAAGCGAAAATAAGGTGAGGAATTTAATTTGAGGCTGGAAATTTCAGTTTTTGAAGTTAATTAAATGCTATTAAAAGTAAAACTCTCACCTCGACCACTTCTCCCTCCCTCTGCTACTTTTCTGCCCTTCATCCCTGGCCGGTGTATAGATCTGTGCGCCTTTATAATCCCTCTGCTTCCCCTTGTGTGTGCACGTGCGTGTGAGTGTGGATTCTGGGCTAAACATTAAGCCGCTCCATGTTATCAGACACTGATGTCTCTGTGGTCCAGTTGTGAAGTGAGGAGGAGAAACCTGGACCAACCTGAGGGGAAAAATTCTGCATGGAGGGCACATCAACGTCAGTATTGATCCCATGACGGCTGCATGAATGCTCGCTTTTAGCTATAGAGGAAGAGTGCAAACACATTTATTGATGGGTTTCTCAAATCCAATCTTGGCAGTGTCTGTATCACGAAAAAGTTCTGTTTAATACAGCGTCTCTTTCGAATTAGAGGGGTTATCAGTGAGCTGCAGCGGAGGGGAATGTCAGAGAAACTGTTGTAATAAACAGATCAATTTGAATTTGAACTAGCTGATGTTTTAGATGTTGAATAAAGTGCCAGTTTTCTTTAGTTTGTCTGGTCATCTTGACATTAAATTCACTTATCTGAAGCAATAGAAAACATGCTTATCGATGTATCTCACTCAGAGAACATACAGTCATAATGCAAGGTTGGAGTTTCTGTAAACATTATTTTACTGAATGTTTTCTGATTAAACTTGTTGATGTCTTATATTCTGCCATATTCTAATCAAATTAAATCATTAATTTATTAATAAAATATTTTTATTGGTTAAAAACGATTATTTTATTATTCAAATTAATTGCATCCATTTATTTATTTAGTGTATTTATAATTAAATTGATTTACTAATTATAAATTAAGTAATAATTAATTTAATGATAATTATTAAGGGCTGCACAGTGGCACAGTTGGTAGAGCTATTGCTCTACCAACAAGAAGGTTCTGGGTTCAATTCCCAGCCCTGGTCTTTCTGCATGGAGTTTGCATGTTCTCCCTGTGCATGTGTGGGTTTTCTCCAGTTTCCTCCCACAGTCCAAAAACATGTCAGGTTCATTGGCCTCTCCAAATTGCCCCTAGGTGTGTGTGCTTAGTTGTTTGTCTCTGTGTTGCCCTGCAACAGACTGGCAACCTGTCCAAGGTGTACCCTGGAGATGGGCACCAGGACCCCACCAAGGGACAAGGGTGTAAAGAAAATGGATGGATAATTATTAAGCAATAATTAAATAATTGCTAGTTACTTAATTATTAATCAATATATTTAATATTGACAAAATTTTAATTAATTAAACAACTTAATTAACAATAATTGTTAATTAAGTTGTTTAATTAACAATTAAATAATTCTTATTTATTTAGTTAATGAATAATTAATAATTTTACTATTAATAAAATTAAATAGTTAAATTTAATTTTATTAAATTATTGTTATTGAGAGAAATGAAACAAGGCGTTTTTCTCTCATATTTGCCTGATGACATTAAATTAAAATTATTGTACTATAAATAGTAGCTTTAGTTTTTTAATACTTTGGTTAATTTTTACATGTAGAATTAAAAAAAGTTGTGTAGTGATTATATTTATTGGGTAATGGATATTCAACAGAAGATATCATTAAAAAAAAGTGTTCAATTATTGTTGAACAACCAAGTTTTATCCCAATTTAAATTTTTCTGCCGCCATTTTGCGCCATTTTCCCGCTAGGAGGATTACAAAGTGCCGTAATTTGCCGACAGATGGCGTAAACTGCTTGCTTAGGGAAAAACCACCAGTTTTAAAGGGTAATAAACAAATTCATTAACACAAAAACGGAGGGTATTATTTATCTGATTTCAGTGTGTTTTAGTTATATAACTCACGACATAGTTCCAGTTAATTATAGTTTTTCTCCATTAATTACCGTTTTCTCAATTTCAGTTGTTCGTTTTGGTTAGCTATTATATATTAATATAGACAATGGATGGACGTTTCTAGACATAAACTGTATTCTTTCTCTCTATAATCATATTATCTACTTCAGTGTCTAAATATATCATTAGGGAAGTTGAGTTATCTCTACGAAAGCAGCCAATAGACAAACACACGCACCATAAAAGCGACTGTATCTGTTCTGCTAGCACAGTTCAGGTCTCATGCTGCACACAAAGTGGCCATAAATTCCCTGAGAGCAGATGTTACTCCTGGTGGTGCCAGTGTCGGGTCTCGTGTGTTTATTCTGCGTGTACAGTCATAAAACAGGCGGTCGAGTTGTAGACCTGTGGATCAGAGTCCAGTAATTCTAGCAAACACACATCTAGGCCGTGGGCGGGGCTTAACACAGAGTCAGGAAGTCAGTAACCATAAAGTTATCGAGGTTCTGTTGTGAGACTCCCTGTTGGAGAGATTAGTTAGGGAAATTCAAGATTTATAACCTTCAAAGAGTTGCTTAGTTCTGCTGCATGCAAGAACTAACAGGTGATAAATATTGGTGAGATCTGAGTTTGTTTTGTGCAGCTATTTTATTTTACTGCCATAAAAGAACAAAGAAAAAGTGATTACATAAAACTATTCAGAGAGGAACTCACTCAGTGATTTAGAAAAATGGGAAGTAATGTTTGAATTACAGTAAAAAGGGCCCAAAATGTCAACTTTTTTTTTTTAAATGATCCTGGTCTTTACCAGGTTGTACAAAAATATACATAACCAATCAGAACCCTCAATAAATAAAGGTGAAATCAAACTGAAACACTAAAGACACAACTAAGCATAACATACAATGTCTGCATAAACATCTCAGGTTTCAAGGTGACGCTTGAACTCCTCCGTGCAGTCACTAGCTGTGTTTCCATTAACCATAACATTGCGCAAATTGAAATTACCAAAACCATTTTGGTTAATGGAAACACGTCAATTAACAAAAAGAAACAGCTTTGGACACTTTTTTTTTGCGTCATATGAGTCACGTGATCAACAACCGAACGTTACTACTGGCGGAAACCAACGAAGAAGAGAACAGGAAGTAGTGGATGGTTGATGGTTTGTTTTTGTGTTTTTTCGGACAATGTACAGCTGGTTCACATAATCGCATAGTTCTAGGGCTGAAACGAATCCTCGAATGATTCGAGTACCTCGATTACTAAAATTCCTCGA